AAAAAAAAATATTGAGTACGCTAATAGGAGAGAGTTTAATGTCTTTGCGCTTTGGAAAAAGAATTTTTTTGTTTTGGTACAAGCTTTGGAGACAGAATTATTTAAGACTCTATTTAGTGTAATTGTAGTTTTAAATTTTTAGTTTTGATTTTTAAAATTCAAACAATCAAATTTAATAATTAAAAATTAAAAATTAAAAATATCCATTTATTGGATATAAAATTTTAAAATAAATATCTAAAATTTTAAATTTAATTAATTTATAAAACTATTTTATTTTATTTCATTTTATTTTCTTAATTTTTAAAAAATAAAAACTAAAAACTTGAAAATGTTAGCCATACTAAATGAAAATGAAGCCTACGAAAACTTATTTCTAACTTTCAAGTTCAGCTTATGGTTGGGCATACGAAGATACTGGGCTTCATAATGTTAATAAGCTAAAAGTTTGCTTGTGCTAGTTGGACTACATTCATAATGGGTTTCAAGGTCTAACTTAACTAATGGGTTCTTCTTTCGAGTTGGCTTTTAGACAGCTGCGTTTTGGGCTTATTTTGATTTATTATTCGACCTATTTTTTGGTTTTCGAAAAAGGACATGGTTTGTGTTCGTGACTTCGTGTACTGCATTTTTTATTTTTTTTGCCCACGTTTGTATACACTGTTTAAGCAGTTAAATTTGTATTGTAAATATTTACACTGTCATACTTTACATAAAAAAATGTCATGCCAAAAAAGGGGCCTAATTAAGATTAATTAAAATGATCATGATTTTTGGGAAATTATGCTTTATGTAATTAAATCTGTATGGTGTATACGTGCAGTAGTTAATCCACTCGTTGCAATTCATTATAAAATACTCATGGCTTCACAATTCCATTCCCTGCAGGGGGAAGACTAAACGTTTTTGAGAAACCACCAGATCGATGATGTTTGTGGACTTCTAGAAGCGGATATATTAGGTATTTGTAGATTTTGTGTCATGAGATAAATTTAGTGCCAAGCAATGTCCCTATATAATAATAATAATAATAATAAATACAATTAGCAGCTATATGTATCACCTTAAAGGCTATCTCTTCATAGTTCTCAACGCGGACTTTCCAAGGTGTTGAAGCTCTTACATGACCATGTAACCAATTCTTCCCCTTTCCTCCTTAATTTCTAATTAAGCCAACCATATTATGCAAGGCTTGGTTCTTTTCAATGAGTTTTTCTAGATAGATTTTTTTAACTTATGTATTGAGAGTATATTTTTTATATTAATTAATATTAAAAAATATAAATAAATTAATTAATTAAAATAATATATGTGAAACTAATAATAAAATTAATAGTAATTATTACCACTTCAAAAAATTAATATAAAAAAATATATTAATTGTACTTATAATTTATACCTTAAAAACATATTTATAAAATATTTATAAAAGCCCAAATCAATCACAGCGTAACAGTGAGAGAGAGGGAGAGAGAGCAACCTGACGTCTGACGATGACAAGAAAAATTGTAAAAAAGTCTCCAAAATCGTGCACCAGAATTAGGGAATGACAAAGAAACACTGACTCGTCTCTCCAACCAGCAATTTGAAGAGCAAATGCTTAAACAACTAGAACATGACAAAAACTTCTTGACTATGAATGTGAATCAAAGTGCAACTTGGCACAAAAAGACAGATCATAGAATAGACATCACAACAATGTAGTCAACCATATGTCTCCTTCAAATTATTTAAACACGTCCTTCAAATTCAATTATATTACATAATCTTTGAAAACAAACATATGCAAAGGCCAATGATCAATGTTAGTTGTTCAGCCAAGGATGGAAATACGTGTGATTTTACTTATATTTTGTCAGCTTGTAGATCCACTTGGGGTTGGTCAAAAAATCATATAAATGATTGATGCTTCAAATCTAAATTCAATTCTATTGGATTTTTCTTTTTAGGTTTTGGAGTTGTGTAGCTTTTTCTTTTATTATTATTATTATTATTTATAATCGAGCTATCTAGCTTTCCGTTTGAACTGGAGTCCCCCGTGTACATATCTTCTCAACCCCTTCAATCATTGAGTGAACCATCAAATTCATAACATGACTCTTCAACAAGCTATAAGAGAAAACTCATGAATAACTCATGGGTTGTAACTTAATTACTTTACCTGATTGGGAAAATCCACACCTATAAGAGAGTTAATCTCAAAGGTTTGCAAAGTGCAATTGCATATCCACAGAAAACCAATTCTATCGTGCAGATTAAGTAGTTAGGTGAGAGAATTTATCTTTTCCAGTTTTTGAATAGCTCTGACCTTAATAGAATACTAAAAAAGTCACCTTGAAACTTTGGTCATTCCTTAATTATTTTTGCGATTATTTGACAAATCCTTAGCCCTATAAAATTATGATTTCTCAACAATACATTTTTGGGTGCGATTTTTTAGGCTTCCCTATGGACTTCAAATTAAGATAGCAGGGTACCAAGCAGGAGGCAGCAAGGGAATGGTTCTTGAAGTGGATGAATCTTTCATTAGAGCATTGCTAGTCTGAATTCAATTGCAGGTGAATAGTCCATTGAGGTGTTTCAAGAATGTTAAACTTTCAACCACAAATACTAGGAAGATCCAATTAAAGTATGAGGACTACTAGAGTTCTGCTTTATTTGTGGTTGTATGGGGCACATGGTTTCAGATTGTGCAATTGGTTGTTGACTAAAGGAAGTTGGAGAAAATGAGTACCTACGAAAGATGGCTACAGGCAAAGACTGATTACTAGGGTCCAAATGTAGAGTTGGTCCTTTTCTTCGAAAGTTGGTATACAAATTAATTCTATGCAGAAATTAGCCTCACCACTAGAAAGGGAGTCATTAGTAGGGGACCATAGCCACATAGAGGCTGTTATGGCTAAGAAACAATTATTTCATGATCCCTAGTTGTTTCAAAAAGTAGTGTACGTAGATGGTTACAAATAAAGAAGCTATGGTTTTGAGTAAAGGAGTTGAGGTGACCAGTGGCTTGTTGGACAGCAAGAGTCGGCCTCCGACATTGGGGATATGCCCTTTTTCATCTTGCTAAACTAACGAAGTGGAAGGATTCTGCTCCACGGAAGACATAGAAAAGAATTGGAAGGAATCAAATTCTATTGCCAAGAAAAAAGAAGGAAAGGCTAGGAAAGAAAAAGTTGGCTTCTAACGCAACTGATGATACCAAGGTGTCCAAAGCGAGGTATAATGATTACGGCAATACACATGCTTTGTAGGTGGATGTTTTTCATCTGTCAGCAAGTTAGAAGCTTATTTTGAGCATGGACAAAGCATTATAGTGCTCGGAGACATTGCATTGCCAAGTGATCTCTTGTATTAGGATTGGATGATAAAATAAATGTGATTACCAACAACGACAATAAATTCTAAAGTAATCTTTCTATGTTATTATGTAACTCTATTAATACTTTTATGATGTATACTAGTATTTAGAAGTTCTTAGCTCCTAATTATGATAGTCATAAGGAATTCTTAACTCTATATATTAGTGTCATAAGTCATTTCTACTTTTTTATATTTCTTGTATAGCCTATATGGCAAAAGCATAGTCTCCATTGTAATTGTTTTAATTATTAATAAAACTATACTTTTTAGACAGAAAAAAAAAAAATCATCATACGATTCATACCTATGTATGAAACAAGGCACATTTAGGCATTCCCCTCATGTTAATCTGCTCGAAGGTATATATGATGTGTGTAAATATATATGTATATAAAAGTTAGTACTTATTTACCTTAATTTTTAAAGATTATGAAAAAAATCATTCTAAAATTATGTTATTTCAATAAAATATCATGAGAAAAAATAAAAAATATTCTAATTCATGTTTTAAAAATAAGTATTTTAGTCTTAATGAATAGGGGTTTATTGAAATGACATAATTTTGAGATAATTTTTCTTCTAATTTATCTTTAAAAGATAAGATAAATACGCATTATTTTCATATATATATATATATATGTGGTCAAAGTGTATCTATGTCAACTTTTACACACCTTGTGATTAATTTGTCCTTAAATAATTTTAATAGTGCACACATACCTCAACCTAGTGTATTTAGGTAAATTAATTTCTTGACCTAATTTTTAAAATAACACTTTCTAATGGATCTAACCCTTAGATTAAGCTCCAACTATTGTTCAAATCAAACCTGAATGCAACTAACAATCAAATAGGTTTTTGATTTTATTGATAACTTAATTGAATTTGTCTACTCCTGTTCTTTAGTTCTCCTAATTTGACTATGTGCACGGATATTTCTAAACTATACTTTTTCTTAATATTTGTGAATAATAACTTAATTTTTTATATGTAAATCTTGTTAAATAATTTAATTCTATTAGAAAAATTAAATGTTTTTATTATAAAAAATATTACCGAAAAAAATGTATATTGTCAAACTAAAACAGCATAATTAAAAAAAATGGAGGTAGTATTAAACATTTGTTTTGAAAGTGATGTGAAATTGTGACGCGGGATTAAGCTAAAGCTTGGGGGGTTTTCTCCTAATTTAACTTCCCCGGGTTAATCAGACAGGTGACCCAGATAAATGAATAAAAAGGGACCGGGGGTACATGCAAGAGATAAAAATTCTTCCACGTGATAGAGTAGGAGAAAAGATACAGAGAATAATATGAATTTTATTTATTTCTTATTTAAGAATATAAATTTTTTAAAATTTTAAATTATGTAATAAATTTTTATTTTTTATTTAAAAATATGAACTTTATTTTTTTATTTAAATATACAAACTTTGTTCTATTTCAATTAAGATTTTTGTTTGTTCCCCATCATCATTATCTAATAAATTCTTAAATAAAAAATACAAAGTTCATATTATTATTTAAAAAAGAGGTAAAAATATATCCTTTAATTTAAAAACTCAAAAAATTATATTTTCTTAAATAAATAAATAACAAAATTTATATACTTATCCATACCTTTTTCTCCGTAGAGTTGGCAATATGTAAAAAGCAAACAAAACGCATTTACACGCGTAGTTATAATGTTTCAAAATCGAAAATCATGTGTAGTAACAGAATGCAGAACATGGTTAGGCCTAAATTAAAGATTATAACATACATATGAAAACGGTTTCGTGTTCAGATTTTTTTTTTTTTATTAGAACAAGTGATTCGGGGAGAGAGAGAGAAAGAGAAAAAAAAATGAAAAAAAAAAAAATCAAACCTTTATCATAATAAAAAAAATTTATATTAAATTACTGGCTCACTGAGTAGTTAGACCTTCTTCGTGTTCAAATTTTTATGCTACACCTATGTAACAAAAAATCTGCTGCACAAACGTGCATTATCATAATGTGATGGTGGACCCTCACTAGTTAGCTGTGAATCGTGCAGTCTGCAGGTTGTTTTTTAGCCGTAGATTAGTCCAACTGAAGATTCAATACTCATATATTAAAAAAGAAAAAAGAAAAAGAAAAAACACAGTTTTATTTATTTGTTTTGAATCTTAATTTTGATGTTGCTCGGTTCAAAAGAAAGGACAGGAACACATATTTTAATCATTTATATCCGTTAATCATTTAAATAATTTAATAATAATTTTTTTTACATAAAAAATTTTAAATTTAAATTATATAATATATAAATAAGGTAAAATAATAAATAAAAAATTATATTTCATTATATAATCAAGATATTAAAATAAATAAATAAATATCCATACCCAAATTAGAACATCCATGCTCTACTTCATTGAATCTTACTAGAAGTGAGTGTTGGTCCCATAATCATGCTCTCAAGACTCTGATTTGAAGTCATAATAGTTGATTGTGTTGGAAATTAAATCTTATTATTTAGTCATTATCTCTATATTTTAGGAAGTTTAAGTTATTTATTTGTTTTAGGTTGTTATCATTTAAATTAGATTAAATAAGATTGATTAATTATCTTTTTAGATAATATTATCTTGTAAAGCCTATTTAAAGGCTGGATTATTTTCAGTTTAATGAGAGATTCAGTTTTTCATTCCATCTTCTTCTTTTCGAGAATCCTTGATTTTTTAACATTTGGTATCAAAGCCTATTTCCAAAAAAAGTCCATGGCTTCTGAAAATTATGTCCAGCCCTCAATCCCTTATTTTGATGGTCATCACTACGACCATTGGAGTATGTTGATGGAGAATTTTCTCCGGTCCAAAGAGTATTGGACTGTTGTTGAAGCTGGAGTTCCAAAACCAACGGCAGGTGCAAATGATGCACAGAGGGCAAAAATTGAGAAGGAAAAATTGAAGGATCTCAAGGCTAAGAACTATTTGTTCCAAGCCATAGATCGGGCTATCTTGGAAACAATTCTTAACAAGTCTACTTCCAAGAATATTTGGGATTCCATGAAGAAGAAGTACCAGGGGAATGAAAGAGCAAGGTGGCAACAGCGCCAAGCTTTGCGGGCAGAATTCGAAGTTCTGCAGATGCAGATTGGTGAATCTGTAGATGATTATTTTGCAAGGACGATGGCTATTGCAAACAAGATGAGGATCCATGGTGAAAATCTGGAGGATGTTGCTATAGTTGAGAAAATCCTTCGGTCTATGACAACAAAATTCAATTATGTTGTTTGTTTAATTGAGGAGTCAAATGATATTGAGACACTTTCTCTTGATGAGTTGCAGAACTCATTGTTAATTCATGAGCGGAAGATAAATCGCCAAGACAAGCAAGAGCAAGAAATGCAGATTTCGCAGACACAAGCCTTGCAGACCACAGTTAATTCAAGGGCTGTAGGTCAAGGAAAAGAAAACTGGAAAGGCAGACTGAGATATGACAGATTGGAGGAAAGTTCAGCTACTAGAATTCAGAAGAGGTGGCAGAATAGAAATTATCAAGCTGCAAATAACAGATCCAAATCTACAAGAAAGGCAAATATTGAATGCTTCAGATGTCATAAGTATGGCCATTATCATTCTGAGTGCCGTGCTAATCTGAATGGAGGAGAAAGTTCCAATTTTGCAGAACACAATGAGAAGAATGGCGATTCCTCTCTATTCATGGTCTGTCATCGTAAAGAAGTCAGCAAGAAGAATGTGTGGTATTTGGATACTGGTTGCAGCAATCACAAGTGTGGAGACACATCTGCGTTTTCAGATTTGGATGAGTCTTGTCAAGACAAGGTGAAATTTGGTGATAATTCCATTATTGCAGTCAAGGGATGGGGAAAGGTAACCATTTGTGCCAAAGACAATTCAATTCAGACTATTTCTAATGTTTTGTATGTACCAGATTTGAAGTCGAATCTACTTAATCTGGGACAGCTTCAGGAAAAAGGATATGAAATTCTTATTAAAGATAGAGTTTGCCAAATTCGTGATTCAAAACTTGGCCTGATTGCAAAGGTCAAGATGACGGGAAATAGGTTGTTTCCATTATACTTACAGACCACAAATCTGTCATGTTTATCTGCCAGATTAAAGGACACAGCGTGGTTATGGCATTGTCAATTTGGACATCTTTATTTTGGTGGATTGAAAGCTTTGCAACAGAAGAAGATGGTAAATGGTCTTCCTCATTTTGATTCTCCTTCAGAAATTTGTGAAATCTGCGTGGTCAGTAAACAGCACCATGACAGCTTTCCTAAAGACAGATCTTGGAGAGCAAAGCAGGTGCTAAATCTGGTTCATTCTGATATGTGTGGACCCATAAATCCAACATCCAATGGAAGTAAAGAATACTTTATTACCTTTGTTGATGATTACAGTCGCAAAACATGGGTGCATTTTTTGTAGACCAAGTCAGAAGCCTTAGCAGCCTTTAAAAATTTCAAAGTCTTGGTTGAGAATGAGGTTGGAAGATCTGTAAAGGTTGGCAGATCTGTAAAGGTTCTGCGTACAAATCGTGGTGGTGAGTTTAATTCAAAGGAATTTGCAGATTTTTGTAAGTCCAATGGCATTAAAAGACAACTCACAGCAGCCTATACACCTCAACAGAATGGTGTAGGTGAGAGGAGGAATCGCACAATCATGAATATGGTGCGAAGTTTGATGTCAAAGAGTGGCTTGCCTCAGGAGTTTTGGCCAGAAGCTGTTAATTGGAGTGTTCATATCTTGAACAGAAGTCCCACATCTCCACTTCCAGATTTGACACCAGAAGAGGCTTGGAGTGGACATAGACCTGTTATTGATTACTTCAGAATTTTTGGGTGCATAGCATATGCCCATGTGCCAGATCAGAAAAGGAGTAAGCTTGATGACAAAAGGGAAAAGTGTATTTTCCTTGGTGTTAGTGAGCAGTCCAAAGCTTACAGATTATACAATCCTTTAACCAAGAAGGTCATCATTAGCCGTGATGTAGTGTTTGATGAAGCAAGCACTTGGTCTTGGACAGAAAAATCTGGGCAACAAATTCCTGCAGATTTCGAAAATGGACAAGATTTGACTGTGCAGAACTCAGAAGGTCAAACTTCAGTAGATCTTGAGGTTTCAAGACAGACAGCTGAAGAAAGTCTGCCTACAGAAGTAGAGTTCAATATTGGAGGAAGTCTGGCAACAACACCAGAACTAGAATCTGGAACTAGTTCCAGACCTCAACACAAAAAGAGAAGACCAACATGGTTGGAAGATTATGAGGTAATAGATCTACCTCAAGATGATGTTCCAGTTAATCATTTTACTTTATTTGTAGATTGTGATCCATTGACATAAGAAGAAGCTGTTAAAGAAGAAAAGTGGCAAAAAGCCATGGCAGAAGAAATTGGTTCTATTGAAAGGAACCAGACTTGGGAGTTGACAGATCTTCCAAAAGGGCACAAAACAATTGGTGTTAAATGGATCTACAAGACAAAGCTCAAAGCGAATGGGGCGGTTGACAAATTCAAAGCTTGCTTGGTGGCAAAGGGTTACAAGCAAGAGTTTGGCATTGATTATCAAGAAGTTTTTGCTCCAGTTGCAAGGATGGATACCATCAGATTGGTGATTGCATTGGCAGCACAAAACTCATGGCCGATCTATCAGCTTGATGTGAAATCTGCCTTCTTGCATGGAAATCTGCAAGAACAGGTATTTATTGATCAACCTCCTGGTTATGTGAAATCTGGTTCTGAGCATAAGGTTTACAGATTGAAGAAAGCATTATATGGACTAAAACAAGAACCTAGAGCTTGGTATAGTCAAATTGATGCTTATTTTTTGAAGGAAGGTTTTCAAAAGTGCCCTTATGAGCATACACTTTACATCAAATTTGGAGATGGACGTAAATTGACTATAGTATGCTTATATGTTGATGATTTAATTTATACTGGGAATGATTTTGGCATATTGGAAAAGTTCAAGCAGTCCATGAAGCTTGAATTTGAAATGACAGATCTAGGTTTGTTGCATTATTTTCTTGGTCTGGAAGTAGTACAGTCAAATTCTGGAATTTTTGTTTGTCAGAAAAAATATGTGCAGGAAGTTCTGGATAGATTTCAAATGAAGAACTGCAATTCAGTCACTACACCAGTTGACAAAGGTGTAAAGCTCGTGAAAGATCCAGGAGGCAGATCTGTGGACAACAAACTGTATAAGCAGATTGTTGGAAGTCTGATGTATCTGACAGCAACAAGACCAGATATAATGCATGGTGTAAGTCTGATTAGCAGATATATGGAGCATCCAAAGGAGTTGCACTTGTAGACTGCTAAAAGAATTCTCAGGTATTTATGTGGAACTGCAGATTTTGGACTATTCTACAAGAAGGGTGACCAGACAAATCTCGCAGGCTTTACAAACAGTGATTATGCTGGAGATCTGGATGACAGAAAAAGCACTTCTGGGTTTGTTTTTATGTTGGGATATGGTGCAATTTCATGGTCTTCAAAGAAGCAACCCATTGTGACTTTGTCCACAATAGAAGCAGAGTATGTGGCAACAACTTCTTGTGCTTGTCAAGCTATTTGGTTGAGAAGAATTATGGAAGAACTTGAGCTGAATCAACATGAGGCCACTTCAATTTATTGTGATAACAGTTTAGCTATCACGCTTTCTAAAAATCCAGTTTTGCATGGGAGAAGCAAGCATATACATGTGAGGTATCATTTCTTGCGCAAATTGGTAGAAGATGGAACAATTGAGTTGATTTATTGCAGAACAGAAGACCAAGTGGCTGATATACTCACAAAACCCCTCAAAGCAGCAGCTTTTTCAAAATTGAGAGAGTTACTTGGTGTTTGCAGCATGCAGAATTCAGTTTGAGGGAGGATCTACAGATTCCAGATTGCAGATCTGCAAATATGGTGTTATCCAGATTTCTTTAAACTAAAGTCTGAAGACTTTCAGTTTAAGAGAGGGATTGTTGGAAATTAGATCATATTATTTAGCCATTATCTCTATATTTTAGGAAGTTTAAGTTATTTATTTGTTTTAGGTTGTTATCATTTAAATTAGATTAGATAAGATTGATTAATTATCTTTTTAGATAATATTATCTTGTAAAGCCTATTTAAAAGCTGCATTATTTTCAGTTTAATGAGAGATTCAGTTTTTCATTCCATCTTCTTCTTTTCGGGAATCCTTGATTTTTTAACAGATTGCATCTTACTTCTGTCTTAGAATCAATTGTTGGAATCTTGCTGGAGTTAATTAATTCTAATTTGCTATGATTTTAAAAATCAAAGGCCTTCCTTGAGTTGTGGACCTTGCTTGAATTGTGGACATTGCTTGAATCATGGACTGCATTTAAGCTTTGATCATCTTTGGCATTTATCAAATGCCTTTACAAGCCCCTCCTTGGCATCTACCCACCATTTCGTCGTCTATATCAGTCGGTCATATTGTTATCAGTCAATATTAACTGCTACTATTATATATACCATTTTGCATCTCAATAATAATTTAATCGAATCGATGTTTATTAATTTTAAACTTTAATTTGATGTCAATATCGATGTCTTAAACTTCTTTTAATGTTAACTCTCAATATAAAAAATATATTATATCCATTTAGATACCCACAAATTCAATCCATTCGGAGAGGCAAGGTCAGAGAGAATCAGTACTAGTCCTGACAAACGGGTCAAATTGGGTGAACTCGAATTGAGTTATCTCAGATTTTGAGTGGTCAGATTAGATTATTTTGAATTTTGGATTAAAAAAGTTGACTCATGATCCATCCAAATGGATCTCGGATTGAGTCGGGTAGAATCAATTTTTAAAAAATTAAATTTTTTTTTATTTTTTTCTCTATTTTTTTTAACAAAATCTAATACTAGTTAACTATTTACTTAAAAAAAAAACTTTATTATTAATTAACTATTTAGTTAGAAAACTTATTAAACGCTAATTTCTATTTCATAATTCAATTTTTTTCCAATCTCAAGAAAAGAAAAGGAAAAAATTAGTGATTATATAGATGGAACTAAAATATATATCAAATATATAATACTTATATAATATTTAGAATTCATAATTTTATAGAGGTGTTAACCTTCATTTAAAAAGAGACATGAAGGATTAGAGTTCAAAAAACAAATCCAATATATATATTAATATCTAATGTCTATTGAATAGTTATAAGAGTACTATACAAAAAATATAGCTCTATCCAATATTTAGGAGGGCATTATACAAAAAAATATAACCTTATTTAATATTAAAGTTTAAAAGGCAAATCCAAAATATGTCTAACCAAATATAAGAAGATATTGAATCAGAATTGATTTTTATTAATTAGCAACAAATTATTAATTAAAAACAAATTAGCAACTAAGAACGAACTTTGATGTTCTTGATGTTCTTGATATTCTTATCTTTGTACTTCTAATGGTTACAAAGGTACCTTAACTATTGGGTTTTGATTTTTAGTAGGCATTCATGCTTTTTATTTTTTAAAAATGATCTTTTTACAATGTCATATAACATAACTCACTATGTGCCACTTAATTTAATTTTTTACGCAAGTGCCACCAAAGAGAAGGATTAGAGAGCTTGAGATGAAGAAGGGGAGAGCGAGAGTGGCGAAGAGGAAAAGTTGAGAGAAAGTGATATTGATGAGAGATTAGGGTTTGAGTATTTTATTTATTTTTATTTTTAAGATTAGAAAATTAGAAATTCAAAATTAATTTTTAAGTAATCTAATAAAAAATGAATAAAAAAAAGTTCAAGTTATTTTTGGTGACTCGATCCACCCATAATCCAACTCATTTGGGTTTGAATAATTTCAATTCAAGTCATTTCAAGTTTTAGATTAAAATATAGAACCCATGACCCTACCCATAACAAATGAGTTGGGTCAGATTTTAAGATTGGGTCTAATTTTACCGAGTATAATCAATACCCAATATGCCACGTTATATAAACCCTCTACCTTCAACAAATATCTAGACCTAGCAATTTTTTACCCAACCCGTTCACCCGCCCATTTAAAACAGGTTAGGGTCATATATTTATGACCAATGACCCGTTAGGAGAACCCAACGGGTCATGGGTCAATAACAGGTTGACCCATCGGGTTAACAGGTTTGACCCGTTTACCCGTTTAAAAATATAAAATTTTTTAATTTATTATTTATTTATTTTGTTTTCCAATTCCCAATCCCACCTAAATCTCTAATAATTAACTAATATTCCCTAATTAACTAATTGATTCTCTTGATTCATCATCTTCTAGAAGTAAAAATAATCCCACTCCACTCATAACTCACCTTCCAACCTTTCCTATTCTTGCTTGCCCTAATACTCTCGAAGACTCTAACTCTTCAAACTTCAAACTTTTCTCATATTCTTCAACCTCCATAATTCATACAACCTTTGACTTTCAAGCTTCGACCCACATTTTCTCTTTAATCTTTAACATTATTTCAGACTTAAATCTTAGTCTTATCGAATCATCGTTGCGTCCACTCAGCCTTTTCTTTTTTTCTCCTATGAGTCCAGCAAGTGCTCTTTTTGTCACCAACTTTTCTCTCTAAATACTTAAAGGTAAGTTGTTTACGTATTTATGCTTTTTAGTTTTTGTTTCATTCCAAGTAAAAATTTTACTTGATTTTCTCCTTTACTTAGATGCATTCAATTGATTATTCTTTGAAAGCAATGACCAAAACAAATAGGATAAAGCTACGTTTACCCTCCTCCGTTACACCCTCCATTACACACACCCATCTCCGTTACTTTGTCGTTAACGCCCAAACGCCCATCCTCACCATCACCGCCACCTTCTTCCTCTCTCGTCATTCCCTCACCATCACCGCCACCTTCTTCCTCTCCC